CGCGGGAGGCCGCCGCGCTCCGCCCTCCCGGCTCCCACCTGCCGCCGCGAGCAGGTGCCGCGCTGCTCAAGTCTGGGCCTCGGGAGAGCTGGACTGTGCCAGACTCGAGCTCTTCGCCGTCCTCGCTCGTGGAGGGGCCCTGGTACTGATATCATCCTAAAGAACAGCGGTCCCTTTATCTTTATGAAGGACCGCGTCCCGGTAAAGGCCACTAGTGTCTGCGCAGCGTTGTACAGGTCATGTCCAGCTTTCGTCATGAAGACCCCCACTTCTCGGTAAAGGTCGTCTGTGTTGGGTAAAACCTGCACAAGGACATAGCTTCTTCACGCAAACCTCCCTGGGTATGACCACTCCAGAAGGTACTGGAAACCTGCACAGGGACAAGGACTCGGCATCCACTTGAGGACATTGTCCACCTGCCTAAAGACCCCACCTGTCTCTGCAGACACCTTTCCTTATAAGAATGCGGCCCATGATTTTAAGGATTCCCTCCCTGGCTGCAGGACTCCACCCTAGCTGTTCCCTTGGGAGTTCTCAGCTGTGGTCCAGCCACTACCCACATGGAGTCTCCCAGGAGTCCACTAGTGCTGCGTGGATATTGGGGAAATAGAGGTCCTGGGGAGGACCTTGGCACCCTGGCATCATTAACCAAGTGTCACTGTTGAAGCTAAAGCAAAGACTCCCAGAGTCTTACCCAGGGTCCTCCCTTGCTGTGGAGCAGGTCCCTATAGAGGTCCCTATAGAGACAAGCAGGGTGCCTAGACGGGCGGACAGGATCCTTATGCATACAGCAGGAGTCCTTGCACCATGTGCAGGTTTTAAATATATCCTGGAGTGTTCCATACACACAGGGAGGTTGTGTGTAGAAGATGTGTCCTTATGCAGGTTAGGAAAAGTGGGAGGGGGCTTTACCCAAACACACGTGTCCCTTACCGATTGAGGGCACACTTACACATGCTGTGTGAAGGGTTTTCATGATGAAGGAGACTTATTTGAGATCCCCACATCTGTCTTTACTTGAGGTGGTTGAGATGGGCAGGAGGAAGAGAGGTTGGTGATCTACCTACTCTATATTTTGCCTCAGCTTGGTAAGACAGGGCTAGGGAGAAAATAATGATAATGGGAAGGTGATGGTGATAAGAGATGGTGACCACAGTGACTGTCCCCAGAGGCTCATGTGTGGAGGGACTGGTCCTCAGGGCAGCAGGGCTCAGAGGTGGGGCTTTGGGAAACAACCGAATCATGGGGGCTCTCACTTCATCAGTGGGCCAACCACTGACAGCAGAATGGACTACTGGGAGGAGGTGGAGACTGTAGGCGGTGGGGCCCCATGGGCGGAAGCAGGTCACTGGGAGTTCACATTGAAAGGGTACTTCTTGTCCCTGGCTTGTTTCCTTGCTCTCTCTCTCCTCCCTGGCTGCTACATCTGATTTACCCTCCCACCATGATGTTCTGCCTTACCTGAGGCCCAGAGCAATGGAGTGGACTGACCATGGACTAGAACCTTTGAGACCATGAGCCAAAGCAAGTTTGTCTTCCTTTAAGTTGTTTGTCAAATATTTTGATCACAGCAATAAAGAGCATACTGATGGTGATGATGATGATGGTAGTGATGGTGATGATGGTGATGATAGTAATGGTGATGGTGGTAATGATGGTGATGGTGGTGATGGTGGTGATGGTGGTGATGATGATGGTGATGGTGGTGATGGTGGTGATGGTGGTGATGATGGTGGTGATGGTGGTGATGGTGATGGTGGTGGTGGTGATGGTCATGATGATGATAATGGTGGTGGTGATGGTGGTGGTGGTGATGGTCATGATGATGATGGTGGTGGTGGTGGTGATGGTGATGATGATGATGGTGATGGAGGTGGTGATGGTGATGATGGTGGTGATGGTGGTAATGGTGGTGATGATGGTGATGATGATGGTGATGATGGTGGTGATGGTGATGATGATGATGGTGATGGAGGTGGTGATGGTGATGGTGGTGATGGTGGTGGTGGTGATGGTCATGATGATGATAATGGTGGTGGTGATGGTGGTGGTGGTAATGGTGGTGATGGTGATGATGATGGTGATGATGGTGGTGATGGTGATGATGATGATGGTGATGGAGGTGGTGATGGTGATGATGATGGCGATGGTGATGGTGATGATGGTGATGATGGTGATGGTGGTGATGGTGGTGGTGGTGATGGTCATGATGATGATAATGGTGGTGGTGATGGTGGTGGTGATGATGGTGGTGATGGTGATGATGATGGTGGTGGTGATGATGGTGGTGATGGTGGTGATGATGGTGATGGTGGTGATGGGTATCATGGTCATAATGACGAAGCTGAGAGGGCAGATGATACTGATGGAGGTGGTGATGGTGAAGGAGACAGGGGAGGTGCAGGTGCTTCCACAGGCACTCATTGTCACTACCTTGGATTTTCTCCTCAGCCACCTCCAGTGCTGGCTTGAGTCATGTTCTCACCCATCCCAACCAGATGGTCGACACAGGGCTTGTTGCTGAAAGATGATTCTGAGCTAAGCAGCTGGTGGCACCTTAAGTGACCCCAGGCACTTGATCTCCAAACTTGGAGTCTCTGTCTTCCCATCTCTAAAATGAGAGGAATAAACCTGTTAATGTTTGGTGTAAACTTTTGTACCCGAGGGGGAGAAGGTAAGACCAGCCTGTTCTACAAGCTGCAGCGGGGACAAGATCCTGCATCGTGTCCACAGAGGAGGATGTTGGTCAGCAGGTCTGCCAAGGCAGTGGAATCCCGAATGCCCTGATGGGGGCACCAGGGAACCATCCAGGTGCGTATGGAGACTGCAGCTGCAGGGCACTCAGTGCTCCCCATTGCTTCTGGGCTCCACTGCACTTCGGCCCCATGTCTGTGCGGCCACCATCTGCCCTGCACCCGCCTTCTCCAAGTGGATCGTATCAAGAATGGCGGCCCTTAAAGTTGGAGGACAAGCCACAGTGAGAAACAATTTTACTTCACAATTTGGCATGTGTGTGTGCATGCACGTGTGTAAACACACACACACCACTCCTCTCCATCCCCCCCCCAAAAGTTTGGGTTGATTGGATCTCTCCTCCTTCCCCTCCCCCCTGCTTCCCCCTTTCTCTCTCTCTCTCTCTCTCTCTCTCTCTGTCCCCCCTTCACTCTGTCCTGCTGTCTTTCCTCCATCTCTCTGTTTCTCTCACAAGTCATCTGGCAAGGTGCTAAAGAATTTCTCTAACAATTAATTAATATTGATCAGGCCCAAGGTATCCATCCTAATGCACGAGAGACCTGAAGTGCTGTCTGACCAGGTTTGCTCCGGCCTGTTTCTCCTGGGGAGAGCAGGTGGTTATCCAGAGTGTCCTTGGGTGTTGCTAGGTCATGGCTGGATACCAATCCCACACCTTCTCAGGGCCCACAGGTGTTGGTGGAGTGCATGAGAACCCCGGGTGGGGGTGGCTCCGACCATACGGCTGATGCTCTTAGTGTCAACCAGCCCTTGCCATCTGGGAAGAGGGACCAGAATCGCCAGATGTTCCAAATTTCCAAGACAGAAATCTGGATATTTTTAAAAGCAAAATCCCTCAGCTTTTAAATGTTAAAACTAATTCAAATACAAAAAATAAACTGTGTGGGCCAAATCAAGCCTGCCCGTGGGTTGGAGCTGGCTGGTCTGTAGCCCTGGTCTAGCCAGACGCTGAGCAGTTCCACCGTGCAGGGGGCAAACAGACGGAGAGGTGCCCACAAGAAGGCTGAGAGGCAGCAGCCAGAGGAGGGGGAGGGGAGCAGGGCGTGGCGGCCATGCCTCCTCCTCCGTGAAGGCCTCCTGCTCCCGGTGTGACCCCCATGGCTGAGATTCTGGGAGGTTCCAGGTTCAGTGGCATGATTGTGAGAGTTCCAAAGAGATGGCCAAGTGCTGGGTCCTGGGCCCAGCACACAGTAGGTCCTCAATACAGGCAATCAGTAGTACATGCACTCAGCTGTGGTTTGTCGGCTGTTTGTCTCACAACCACTTGTGGAGTGTCTGCTGCATCCTAGGCTCTGCTCTATGACCTGGGGAAGTGGAGACAAGAAAGGAGACAGTCTCCAGTTAAAGGAATCGGCACTTCTGGACTCAGAGGGCAGAGAGTAAACCGGGGGCCAGCACTGTGTGCAGTTTCAGGAAGAGGAAAGGACGGCAAGCTCTGGGTGTGGTGCCGAGGGGTGTTGCTGCTACAGAAGATGCCCAGGAACTGGGTGTCCTGCCTGAGCAGGGGCCAAGTGGAGGCTTGTTCATGATAGCGTGGCCCAGAGCTTGGACCTCGCAGCCAGGTGCCTGGCCTGAGTCCCGGCTCTGACGCTGACCTCCACCCTCTATGCCTCAGCCTCCACGTCTGTGGGATGCAACGGGCCTCCCCTGGGCTGCGTGAAGGCTGCGTGGGGGAACAGCTGGAGCCAGCCCTCAGCTGGCGTTAGCTACTGTCCACGGTGACCATTGACGACGATGGTGTAATCACTGCAGCGAAGCACGCACCTAGCGGGGGACGGTAAGTTGGAAGTGCAGGTGGGGTTCATCCCCATAAACCCACTGGGAGCTGAAGCTATTGTAAGTGGAAAGCTTCTAGTCCACCCGACCTCCCCAACACCCTACTGCCTAACGTGGGCGCGGAACACTGCCTCGGCCTGCAGCTGGGCAAAACCCAACGCAAAACCCACCTTACAACCAAGTGCCGGTATCTCGTGGAACCACTGAGGGCTGTACTCAAAGTGAGAGGCAGTGAGTGGCTCTGTGGATAGGCATTCGCACCATCACGAAGCACAAATGTAAAGTCCCCACCGTGAGTTGGGGACAATTTATAAATAACAGCCCTGAGGCTGTGGGGGGCTCAAATAGATCAAGGGGCTTCAGGTGTGCAGTCACCCCCACGTCTCTCTGCCTGCCCCTGTTTCCTCTCCTCCTCCTCCCTCCCTCCCTCCCACTTCTCTTCCTTAGTAAAGTTCTTACTCAGTACCAAATAGCTTTCCGACTCTATGTAAATCCATCAAGTCCCACACTTTCAATTCTGTGAATATTTCAATAAAATCAAAGCAGGGGCCAAGCATGGTGGCATGTGCCTGTAATCCCAGTGACTTGGGAGGCTGAGAAAGGAGGATCACAAGTTCAAGGCCAGCCTCAGCAACTTAGTGTGACCCTGAGCAACTTAGCAAGACCCTGTCTATAAATAAAAACATAAAGAGGGCTAGGGATGTGGCTCAGTGGTTAAGCACCCTGGGTTTAATCCGTGATAATTCTCCCCCATAAAAAAAAAAAGAAAAGAAAAATGAACCAGGTACATTAAAATAGACTGAAAATATTAATCTAGAGCTTATATATCCTTTACCCATGTTTTCATATATATGTCTCATATATATAGAAAATATATGTATGTTTTCAAACATTCTAATCACATATCTATTACTTTTTTGGGGAGGGGTACCAACGATTGAACTCAGGGCACTCGACCACTGATCCCCACCCCCACCCCTATTTTGTATTTTATTAGAGAGAGGGTCTCACTGAGTTGCTTAGTGCCTTGCTAAATTGCTGAGGCTGGCTTTGAACTTGTGATCCTCCTGCCTCCACTTCACAAGCCCCTAGGATTACAGGTGTGCGCCGCTGCACCCAGCCTCACCTATTACTTTTTAAAAAATATTTTTAGTTGTAGTTGGACACGATACCTTTATTTTATTGACTTATATGTGGTGCTGAGGATCCAACCCAGGTCGCGGCATCTGCTGGCTGTACCGCCCAGCCCCAGCCCCAGCCCTCCAGACTCGCCTCTGTACACTGAGGACCGAGGATCCCCTGCCAGGGAGCCTGGGCGCCAGGCTGTCTGTTGAGGCCCTGATGGGACAAGAGGCCCAGGAAGGGCGAGTTCATTCCCTGGTCTTGACCTGGGACGTCCATCTTCTCCTCAGGACAGCAGAGCTCCTGGTTCTCCAGCCTTTGGACTGAACAGCACCCCTGGCTTCCCTGGTCTCCAGCCCAAGGAGAGCATGTGGCGGGACTTCCCAGCCTCACAACCGCGTGAGCCAGCTCTCATCAGCCTCTTCCCGTCTGTGGTCCATCGGCCTGTCACTTACCTACCTGCCCACCATCAGTCTATCCACCATCTAGCTTCATCTACTGGTCACATGTCACCTCTCATCCACCTACCCACCCCTGTCTACCTCCCTACCATGTCTACCTACCCACGCCTGTCTACCTCCCACCCCTGTCTACCTCCCCCCCCTTTTTTCCTTCCCCCCCTTTTCTCCTTCCCACCCCTGTCTACCTCCCACCCCTGTCTACCTGCCCACCTGGCTTCTGTCTCTTCTGCTGGTTCTGATTCTCTGGAGGACCTGATGAATAGAGCGGGGTTCCACCTGAATCAGACCCCACACCCCTAAACACCTGAGATACAAAGACGAGGGGGGAACTCCAGAGAGGCGCTCACTAGGGCGCCTAATGGCGGGAGTGAAGCCACAAAGACTTCAGAGGAAGGCCTGGCACCTCCCACAGACCCACACCTCCCCCGCCCGGGCCCACAGGTCCACTGTCAGGCCTTCACTCGGAACCTCACTAACCATGCCCAGGGCCCTGCAGGAGTGTTCAGGGCAGCTCCGTCCACGCCCCTCAGGCTGGAAACCGCCAGTGTCCAGGGGTGGGAGGAGGGGGTGGGAAGCCGCGGCCTGTCCAGGCAGCAGTAAGAGGGGACAAACCAAATCACGCGAGAACCAGGGTCTAGGGTCATCCTCCTGAGTGAGAAAAGCCAGTCGCAAGAGTCCCACTGCCTGTGGCCATTTGAGGCCGTCGCAGAAGAGGTGAAGCCACTCTGCTGTGACGAAGCCAGAGGAGCAGGAGTGGCCTCTGGGCAGGCAGGGCCCGGCTGCTGGGAAGGTGCTGAGGGCACTTCTGGACCCGTCCAGGGCACAGGGCGTGGGGTGACATTCACAGGTCACACTAAGGATGAGCCACTTGAGCGCTGAGGGACCTGTGCGCCATGTGCCATGCTCAGCTGGGACCAGGAAAGCCAGTGGTGCCACCCAGCCCAATTCCTAAGGCTGGAGAGCCAGGAGCTCTGCCGTCCCACGTCCCACGGGGAAGACAGATGTCCTGGGATGTGCCTGCTTTCCTTCTCCAGGGAGTCAAAGAAGGAAACGACGCGGGCCCAGGAGGAGAGACAGGTGCTAAGGCAAGCAAAGAGGGACCCAGAGGGGGACCCAGCGGGGGACCACCAGGTGTTCACTGCAGCCGTCCATGGTTTTTATGCTTCAAATTTTTCATGATAAAAATGTTGAAAAAAAATTAAAAAATAAAAATGTTGAGGAGAACAGGGCAGGATCTCATTTGAGTGATAAAATATTTTGGGATTATAACCCAGGTACAAAATAAATATGAGTCCATCATGGTATTAACAAAGGAGTGGAGAAGGCAGTAAGCCTGGGAGAAAAGGTAGGCCTCTCAGCAGAATAATGTCCAGTAGTCTATGCGGAAGTTCTGCCCCCCACAGGGGCAGCTCCCCACGACTCAAGGATGGGCAGGGCACAGCCTGACAAGGGAAGAGAGGGACCGACTGCAGAGGTGGGAAACCTAGCCAGGGGCTGTGGTGCACACCTGCAGTCCCCGCGACTCGGGAGGCTGAGGCAGGAGGATCTCAACTTCAAAGCCAGCCTTAGCGACTCAGAGGACCTGTCTCAAAATATAAAGAGGACTGGGGATGTGGCTCAGTAGTTGAGCACCCCTGGGTTCAGCCCCCAGTAAAAAAAAAAAAAAAAAAAGGTTGAAGTTGGGAAGCCTGACAATTCCTCAGCCAGGTGACCGAGGTCCAGGTCATGTCGTGACGTCACATCGACTAAGTGCAAACTTAAAAGTATTCTAAAAATGTTACTTTAAAAATATGAATATAAAAAAAGATCAGAGAGCTAGTTGACATGCATTCTGCGGTCATGAATAACTAATTGGAACAAAACAAAATAAAATAAAAAACCGGCCAGGGCTCCCTAGTGGAGAGGGACTCAGCTCTGCCCGTCCCTGCCCTGCCACCTCCTGGCCGGCCCGAGCCCCTTTCCGCACGTGCTGCGGTGGGAGGGTCAGGAGATCCTCCAGATGTTCTTGCCATTTTTGGGTTTTCCCACTGTTGCAATTTCAGGTAGTCCAGCCTGACCTGCCATCAGTTTGTCTCTCTGTTGTACAGTCAAAGCCACCGTCCCTACGTGGTGGAGGCCGGAGCCAGGACCCCAGGGAGGGCACCAGGGCACAGGTCATCGTCCTCTGTCCTTGCTGTCTCCCTGTGCTGCTGCCCGGTTCCTGTGGGCATGGGGGCGGGGAGGTGCACCCACCCTGCTGCTTCCCCCTGGCTACTGCTGCCCCAGTTTGTGCCAGGTGGGCAGCTGGCCTCTCTTGGTCTCATAGTCCCCGTCCCCTTTGCTTGATCCTCCAAGAACCCTGCCTTCTGTAGTTACTGTCAAAGTGTTGTTGGTGTGATGCCCTTTGGCCACGCCCCCGGGAGTAGCCTGGGGTGGGACAAGCAGGTGTGCCTGGTGGCCGTGAGAGCACAGCTGGGGTAGCAGGGCGCTGCATTGGATTGGTCTCCGCCTCCCCATTCCTGTCCTGGGACCTCAGACCTGACTGTGTCTGGTGGTGATCCAGGTAAGACGGGGTCGGGGCGGGGGGGGGTCCTAATCTAGCAGCTGGAGTCAGAAGAAGAGGCGGTGGCCAGTGTGGTGGTGGTGCATGCCCAGCCACTCAGCAAGGCTGAGCAAGGATAGTGAGTTCAAAACCAGCCTCAGCAACTTGGTGAGAGCCTGTCTCAAAAAGCAAAAAGGGCTGGGGGTGTGGCTCAGTGGTAGAGCACCCCTGGGCTCAATCCTGGGTGCCAGAAAAGGAGAAGGAGAAGGAGAGGAAGAGGCGGTAAGGACGCAGACACACAGAGGGACGGCATGTGAGGTCCCAGGGAGAAGGGTCAGAAGAAACCAGCCCCCAGCAAGGTAGGACACGCTCTGCCCTCCAGATCTGGGAGGAGCTGACTTCCCTTGTGGAAGGGGCCTGTGGCCTTTCCTGGAGGCCCCGCAGCGGGAGTGAGAAAGAGCCTGTTCAGGGGTTGGACACTTGGGTCATTTGAGTTGGGTCGAAGCTGGTTCTGGACGGGTGTCATCAGGAGGCAGTAGGAGGTACTGCCTGCAGGAGGGCAGAGAGGGTGGGCAGAAGCCTGTGCTGGGCAGATGTGCAGTGTCACCATCAGCCAGGCCTGGGGCATAGCGGGGCGCCCAGTGCCAGTGTCCCAGGTCCCAGGGGGTGTCCTCCTGGAGCCTGTCCTGGGGTGTCCTGGTGGTGCACTGTTCTGGGCTCCTGTTCTCCTTACTGGGGAGAGGCCTTCTGCCAGGTACCACACACGTCCTCCCTGTTCACGTGGCCTTCCGACCACTCCTGGTGGCTGGAAGGCCTGCAGAGCTGAGGGGCGTCACTCCAGGCTTGGCCCAGGGACCCTTGTCAGATGCTCTCTCCATCGGCCATCTGCAGGACGCTCCTGAATGGCCCTCCCTGCAGGGCGCCTGCAGCAGACCCCGGGTGAGGAGAGAGAAGCAGATTGTTACCCTCTGACCAGCGAGTCACCTGGCTTCCCCATGCCCAAGCGCGTCCTGTCCCCTGGGAGATGGGCGCTCTCTCGCCCTCCAGACCCCTGGGCTCCTGTCTTCCAGGACCTTCCCCATCTCTCTCCCCTCAGGTGGCCCTCTGGGCTGTCTCCAGGCAGTTTCTGGTGTCACAGGCCACAGTGCCAGAGAGGGCAGCTCAGTCCACGCTCCCCTCCCCTCCCCCGTGCCCCAAACCTCAGGGACACAGTCCTTGTGGCCTGCCGTGCTGAGCCACCAAGAAGTTTTAAAGTACATCAGGAGATGTGGCCTTTGAAAAGGTTTGTTACTCACGAGACAAGGGACAGGCCACTCCACACAGGCCATGGGGAGGCCAGTGGGCAGAGCCCACCAGGGCAGTGGGCGGGAAGGATTGCTGCTTTCTTCAGGAGGGGACCTGTGGGTCAGGCTTGGGATCAGCTAGTTAGAATAGTGTCAGTGGCTCGGCCACAGGCTGTCCAGGTCCACCCCTGTCCTGGGGTGGTAGGCACAGAGGCTCAGGGTGAGAGCCCAGCAGGAGGGCCTGGGCGCGGGCTCCGTGTGTGCTGATCTGTACAGAAGCCAGTCACAGGCCAGGGGTTTTCGTCTCTAGGAACGAGCTAGTCCCCGGAGGGGTCCCTCTGGGCTGAGAAAAGAACCAAACACTAAAGAGACGTGTGGAGCCCCAAGCCCTTCTGCTGGCCCTGGTCAGGAGGGAGCTGCTCAGTGGGGAGGTGAGGACTTGAAGGCAGGAGCCTGAAGTTCATTTTCAGGAACAGAAGCAGCAGGGAGCGTGAGGCAACCGGGCCCAGCCCGGAAACTTGGCAGGAAACAGGTGTGCTCCGGCAGGTGAGACCAAAACGGAACTGTCACATTTACAGCATGAGAGGCGCGTAGGGATTGCACCTACCAAGGAAGAGCCGGGAAGCCCTCCAACCCTGCAGTGGCCTCTGGGCAGCGCCCCGGTGCACCTCACCTGGGCCGTGGGAAGAGGAGCATCCAGGCACCTTGAGCCTTGTTTTCTGTCCTTCTTCTTTCTTGTTCTCAATTCCTACTGGCTGAAGAGTGTGAGGGAATCCTTACGTTATTAAAAACAAAACAAAACAAAACAAAAAAAATCATGCTTAGAAATGTGGGCAGAAAGAGGCAGCAGTCCAGAGCCCGTTAGTGCAGGCCTGACAGGAACCCCTGGGCCCCACAGTGATCCACCCTGCAGGGAAATCTTTTCGAGGAGGGCGCCGTGCCAGACCTGGCTTCCACTTGGATACCTGCCTCCACAGATGTTGGTAGCAGTCCTCCCTCCTCGGAGGTTGGAATCGGTAGATTGGTACCTGGGAAGGGGCCAGGTGGTTAGAGGTGGTCAGAACCGGAACACTAACACTATTGATCATTTTAAAGAGATAATTCAACGACAGCATCGTCCCGACCCAGTGCCACCCCCACCTCTCCTCTACCAGAGGATGTCTGTGCCCTAGGGCAGCTGCCCCGGCTGCTGTCCCTACGGGCAGCGCCGATCTGCTTCCTGCACCTGGGGATTGGCTTCCTCGGGGTATTTCCCTCCGGGGATCACGGAGTCCCTGGCCCCTTGTGTGCCTCCTTCAGGGCAGCAGAGGCTCCTCCACAGTGGGGGCGTCCGCTCCGTCCCAGCTGGGTGGTGATCCCACACACGGAGGACTGGCTCCATCTCTTCCATCTTCTTACTACCAGCCACCCTGCTGCTGCCCCAAATCGCTACACCCGCCCGCTATTCCTGAGAAGGGGCATACGGGACACTGGAGTGGGCGGGCCAGGGGCGGAGTGGAGTGTCCCCCCCCAGTGAGGCCATGGAGTCCTGCACAGCCCCTGGTCAGGCTTCAGCTTCCTTAGCAGTAAAGGAGTCTCCGATTCACTTTGTAAAGTTGTTTCTAAATTTAAATAATTGACATCGAGGTGAACTATTTGTAACATAGAACTTGCTGCTGTGACCATCTCCAAGTGTCCAGTGCGTGGGCGTTGTGTCCACTCACACTATTGGCCACCGTGGCCCCGCCATCTCCGGGGCCTTTTTCATGTTCTGAACTTAATCTCCTGTCCGTCAGCCACCCCCTTCCCAGCCCTCTCCAGCTGTGGGCACCTGTGGTCGGCTCTCCCTCCATGAATCTGACTCCGAGGTCACATTTTATCTGCTACCCTTCACCTCCCTCTCCTGGGCTCCTCGCAGTGGGAGGATGAGATTGGTTACTATGTAGAGAGAGGCTGATGAGGATTGGTTACTATGTAGAGAGGCGGCTTTGCCCCGAGGCACCTTGCATACATCTTGTCCAGAAGGGATCAGCACCAAGTCTGACACTGTTACCAGCTCAGGCAAAAAATGAGGGGTTCAGGCCAGGGAGGAGCCCAGCAGCTGGGGGTGGGGGTACGGTGTGTGGGGACCCCAGATATTGAAGGTGGGGACCTGGCCAGGGGGGTGCCCAGTGCATTGAAGTGGGGACGTGGCTCCAGAGAACTTTTCCCTCCACCTTAGAAGGAACCTTTCTTGGGCTCCTGCAGCCTGGCTCTGTTGTAAGCAGCCACCATGGATCAGCTCTCCTGACCTTCACCCTGGTTCTGTGAACTGGACACTGTCCTTTGGGCCGCTCTGTGACGGCGAGAGCAGAAGTACAGAGAAGGTGAGCCAGCTGATCAAGATCACACAGCCAAGGGTGAGCCGGGCGGGGATCTGAGAGCAGCACTCGGGGCCCCACAGCCAAATGCGGTCCCTCCTGCACTCCACATGGGGCTGTAAGACCTCTTCAAACAACCCCCAGCAGACGCACAGCTGAACAAAATGTGACCTGTCCATCGGATGCAAAGTCACTCAGCCGCAGAGTGGAATGGAGGCATGACACACTGAATGTGAAAATACCGTGGCATTGGACACTTTGAAATGGTCAGTGCTCAGTGTTATGCCGATTTCACCTCAACCACACAAAAACCAAAGAAAAGCAACGGCAACAAGCAACAGCCCAGCCCTACTGGACATGAACTTCACATCCAGAAAGCCAAGGTTTAAATCCTCCCAGTGACCCATGGGTCTGCTCCTCCTCGTGCCCAAGGGAAGTGCGAACACTTGTCACACGAAGACTCACGGAAGGGTGCACACAGCAGATCCGCTCACCTGAGCCCCAAGCCACAGCAGCCCAGGTGTCTGTCTGCACGCTCCTTCTGCACGTGGGGTCCCACGTGGAAGCCCAGGCAGCAGGGACAACCTTGGAAATTCTGAGCCGAGTGTAGGGAACCAGAAAGCAGGGCTTGCTCTCTCTCAGCTCTTGATTCTGTCTGCATGAAGTTCCGGAACAGTCCAAATCGATTCATAGTGGAAAAAATCCAAAGAGTGATTTCCCCTTGGAGAGAAGGACCAGGATTTGAGAAGCAGGGGTATGTGGGAGCTGGAAAAATGGCTACATTCTATCTGGATGGGGTTTAGGTCCACAGTGGTCTCAACAGTGTATTTCAGAGTTGAGAATTTCATTATATGCCATCTTCCTTCCTTCCTTCCTTCCTTCCTTCCTTCCTTCCTTGGTCGCCGGGGGTTGAATTCAGGGACTCAACCACTGAGCCACATTCCATCCCTTTTTTGTATTTTACTTAGAGACAGGGTCTCACTGATTGCTTAGTGCCTCACTTTTGCTGAGGCTGGCTTTGAACTCTCAATCCTCCTGCCTCAGCCTCCAGAGCCACTGGGATTGCAGGCGTGCTCCTCTGCACCCAGCTATCTGCCCATCTCAACACAAAGAGAAAGCGGAAACCGAAAGCCCAAGTTGCTGGAGTGTGTGTGTGTGGGGGAAGTGGGCTGCTGTCTGCACCACAGAGACCCCAGGGGGACTGAGGACAGGTGGAGGAGGGTGACGTCAGGGGTGGAACCCTGCGGGGTGCACTGGTAGGTCTTTTAGCTCTTCTTTGTGTTTGAAGAGCCTAAGGAAATGCCCGAAGGAGCCTGAGCCCACAACCACCTTCTCTCCCAAAAGTTCTTCATCTCTCAGTTAAAAAAAAGTCTCTGAGCACCTGGCGGGAGGCGAGTGGGAAGGCGGTTGATCTAAGGCCTCACCGTGGCTGCTGGGCACAGGGCCCCTGCACAGGGAGACCCTTCTCCTATGTGGAAAGCAGCTCTGACCCGGGAATCTGACTTGGCCTCCTTGCCCCACCCTTTGCCTCAGAGTGGGCCAGGTCCTGGGCAATGCTGGTCACCTGGCCCCCGCAGGGGCTTCTCTGGGGGACATTAAGGCAGAGACACAGGGGTGGTGCTGTGGCCGGCCGCCTCTCTGGACCGAGGCCCCACGGGCCTGAACCTGGCTCCTGACCTGCGTCCTCCCCTCGGTGGCCCCTTGTCAGGGTCGGGGTTTCCAGCCTCCTGTTGGCTTCCACGAGCTGCTGGTGACTGTGCCATCCACCCCTTTGCTGCCACAGCCAGCCAGCCACTTTAAATCTGTCATACATGTGTGTGTGTGTGTTGTGTGTGTGTGTGTGTGTGTGTGTGTGTGTGTGCGTGTGTGTATTTATACTTATTTATTTTTTTGTGCTTCAACCCAGGTTCCTGTACCACAGAGCCACATCCCCAGCCCTTTTTATTTATTTATTTATTTATTTAATATTTATTTTTTTAGTTGTGATGGACACAGTATCTTTATTTTTATTTTTTTTTATCTTTATGTGGTGCTGAGGATCGAACCCAGGGCCTTGCACTTGCTAGGTGAGCACTCTACTGCTGAGCCACAACTTCAGCTCCTATGTCTTATTTTTTTGAGATGGGGGTCTTGCCAAGTTGCCCAGGCTGGACTTGAACTTGCCATCCTCCTGCCTCAGCCACCAGAGTACGTGGGTGGCTGCCACTGCTCCCGGCCTGAACAGGTTTATGGGGACGTTCTTGGCCTATCGTGCAGCTCACCCACTGAAAGGGGACAATCCGGGTTCTTAGCCTGTTTGTGGAGTTGTGCAACCGCCACACAAGCAGACTGAGCGGCCAACAGGAAGCTTACACCACGGCCACCCCCCCCCACACACACACGCTGGCCCAGGCGGCCCCTTCTCTGATCCTTCTGTGTATCTGCCTATGCCCCCGTCCTTATTGTCCTTTGACGACGCCTGCCACTTCCTTCTCACCACCCAGTGATCGGCATCCTCCTTCCACACTGGGCTGCAGGGTCAGCCTCTGTGGAGTCACAAGGCACAGAACTTGTCCCATAACACAAGGTCCACCCATGTTGATACCAGCGACAGAGCTGCCATCTCTTGGTGGCTGAATAATGTCCCTCTGTGTGCACCGGTCTCGGCTGGTCTGCAGGTGACTCCACTTCCTGGCCTCGGGACAGGGCTGCAGGTGCGGCTGTCCCCTCCACAGACCAGTTTCCTTTCCTTCGGGAGTGTGTACCCCGCAGTGGGGATCATGGTGTGGGGGGCTCCTGGGGCATCAGCAGGTCGTGGGGTGTGACTGGGTTTCCACAAACCTGCATGGGGCCTGGCAGGAACCGAGGCTGCGGCTCTGCAACAGTTACCACAGGGTCCTGGCGGCAGCTCCTGCGTCCCCTCCACCGCCCCTCCCTGCAGCCACCTCACATTGTGAGGGCTGCTGTGTTTGAGCCCCTCTGCAAGCTCAGGGGGCAGAAATCATGGCCTGCAGCGTCACCTTGCCCCCGCCTACCCTGGCACCCAAAGAACCCAGTGTTCACAGTGTCGACCCACACCTCCCGCTGCCAGCTGGAGCCCGAGGACTCTGGGGACAGTAGACGGCTCTGCACGCCACCATAACGTGAGAACATGTCACTGTTGGTCCAAACCCAGAGGGAGCAACACCTAGAGTGAGCCCTCACTGCCCTGGTCACGGGGATTGCGATGCGCCAGCGTGGCCCTGGGTCCCCACCCGTGTGCCACTCTGGTGGGGACGGAGCAGGGGAGGCTGGAGGGGGCAGGGGGCGTGGGAAGTCTGTGCCTTCCTCCCAGTTCTGCTGAGAACCACAAAACTGCTCTTTAAAAAGTCTATTAGAAAGAGTTTCCCCAGCCCAGCAGGTGTCTGGGGCCGGCCACCCTGGGCAGGGCTGTGACCCTCCAGGTGCGGTCTCTGGGTTGTGAAAATCACAGGTGTCTCCAGGCGCAGCCTGGTGTGTGTATGGGGACCCTGGTCATCTCTGCTGACTCTGTGACTGTATGGTGATTTCCTGGAGGGTTCCGGGGATCCTGCTGTAATTTCCTGCTGGTTCTGGGCGTCCTGGCACCTGGACCTGGCTGCACACAATCCTTCGCTGATTCTGGGGACTCTGAACAATGTAGGCTGATTTCCTGAGCCTGCCTCAGTGATCCCGCCTTGTGTAGAGACCCGACCACGTTCATGCGTTTATTAGGTAGAGTGCTGGCAAGGCCCCGTGTTTCAGCCCCTCTTCTGGGAACCGGGGGCATAGGTGGAACTCTGATCCTATGAATCCTTAAAGAACTGGCCGGGAAGGGAGGAGGGAGGTGAAGACATCCTATCACCTGTGACGCAGAACCGGCCTGGAGCTAGGGAAGGAGCACAGAAGGAGGCCACAGGCCCTCCATGTACAGCTCTGTGGTCCCCGTCACATAGACTGGGTGCGAGGAACCTTAATGTGCAGGTCTAGAGCAGGAGCAAGGAAGCCCAACCTCTGTAAAGAAGGGGAGAAGGATTGCTGGGGTCGTTTGGGGGCTCATGGGAAGGGTCTCCTGCTATGAGAAGCATTTCCACTTCTTTCTTCTCTCTTTTTTTTCTTTTTTACTGGGGATTGAATCCAGAGACACTCTATCACATATATCCCCCGACCTTTTTATTTAATTTTTTTTTTTTTTTTTAAATTTAGGGCAGAATCTTGCTAACTTGCTAAGGCTGGCCTCAAACTTGCGATCCTCCTGCCTCAGCCTCTGGAGCCTCTGGGATGACAAGGGTGCCATATTGATCCTGGCCACAGCTCAGCTTTCTAGTGGGATTCCAGGAGGTGTATCACTGCAGGTGTTCTGCCATGCACACACACGATGCTACAGTCCAGCTGGTAAACTGGGCATAGAGACCAGACGACAGTAACTAATAAAGCAGAACAATCATAGGAATACACTGTAGTAACAGCATGTGGACGAGGTCTGCCCCCCTCAAGCTGTCCTCTGGGGTCGCACTGATGGAGCAGGAGGGCCTGGGGTCATCACCCCTGCAGAAGGGCACGTCATTGGAAACCTGCCGCCTGCCCATTTCTGGAACTGCCCAATAGCATTTCCCCACCGTGGTGGCTGGTGGGTAAGCGAGGCTGTGGGTGGGAGGCTGCTGGAAGGTGCCTGTCATCCGCTGCCCGCCTCTGTCTGCAAGAGCACATGCCCACCCAGGGGTCGACACGTCGACTTTGCATGTGGATGGATCTCAGGAACCTCGAAGATGCGTGGCACACAGTAGAGGACCAACAAGCACTTTTTTGATGAGCTCATTTTATTGGTACCCAATGTGCGGTGCATTTTGACATAATTATACAAACACGGGATTTAATTTGCTCTAATTCAGTCTCCAGCGCTGCTTCTTCCCCACCTCCCGCTCCCCTGTTCCCTTTCCTCTACTCACTGATCTTTCTTCTATTTATTTACAGTGTTTTAACAAGTCAGTGCCCATGGGGAGACACACAGGTGAGAGCCACTGTGGTGTATCTGCCTGTGTACACGGGCAAGTTCGGACCACCGCTGCGGTCCTCCCTTTCCCTGCCCTCCTTCCTCCCCCCCACCCCTTCCTGATCCCACTGACCTTTCTTCTATTTACCAAGACTCAATAAGGATTTTCTTCCCCTCAGCATGCTCTGCTATAAATATCTCCAACATCCACGTTGATCCTGTGTGTGTGTGTGTGTAATTCCTCACCCTGATTTGATTAGATGTTACCCTAGTAGCCAATGTTGTGCCCTCAACCCTTTTGACTGCATTTATTCTTGCGTTTTAGAGCATAACATATCTATCTCCGCTTTCCTAGCACAGGTCAACAGGACTTTTTGAATTAAAAAAAAAAAAAATTGTCAGATGAAAAAACAAAACAAAAACCAAAGGACTTCAGAAGGGTATTTCTGCGCTGTGGTCACAAGAGGGAGCCCAAGATACACGTCAAGCTCCCGCGGCCTCTAGAGGGCGGTCTCCGGACCTCATCGCTGCCCACCTGGACCTCACACTCCTCCCGGGGCCTCCCTACCTCATCTGGAACAGGGAAGAGAAAGTGCCTGCGATGAGTCCCCTGAGCAGCCCAGGAGACAGGGAAAAAGTGTGGAGCTCCCAGAAACCGTGGAAGCAGCCCTGAGGAGGGAAAGGAGATGGAAGGTACAGGAGCGAGCCAGTGGCAGGGAAGCTGGTGGGGACTGTAGTTAGCGTGTTCAGGTGGTTATCCCTGCTTGTGTCGGGGTGGGGGCCGGGTGAGATGGTGGACGTGTGAACCCGATCCACTGTAGCCATTTATATCCACACACACACAACAAAACTTCTTTTTTAAAAAGTATGTGGTACACCTTAAATATATACAGTAAAAGAAGTTAAAGAAAGATTACTGTGTATGTGCAAACTCATCAGCTTGTGTACATTAGAATGCAGTTCTTTGTCATCGATTGTATCTCAGTAAAACTTTTAAAAACATTTATTTTTTAGTTGTAGGTGGACACGATTCCTTTCTTTATTTTGTTTTTACGTGGCTCGAACCCAGTGCCTCATGCAGGCGAACGAGTGCTCTTCCTCTGAGCCGCAACCCCAGCCCCTCATAAAGCTTTTCTAATAAATAAATAAAAACCTGTTGAACGAGTCATTAGGCTAAAAGCCACGGGACACGTCATTAGGCCAGCACAGAAGTCTGAGTAAGAACCAGTCCACTCCAATAGATGCGACCCACCGCACAGTCAGCGTGTGAAATCCTCTTTCAAGATGATTAAGTGGCAATTCTGGGAGGGGCGGGTGCTGCCAGGAGCTGCAGGATGTGCTGTGCAGACTGGAGGCCACAGGGGAGGGCGCAGGACAGGAAGGAGGCCGTGGGGACCAGGAGGGGCCGGGAGTGGGCTTTGTGCCAAGTGCCACCGGGGAGAAGGGCCTCCCAGAGGGTGCTGGAAACCCAAGTGGCAGGGTGGGAGGGGGATGCGCCCCCAGTTCTGCACTGAGGGCTGGGGGCTGGGTGCAGGGAGGAGCCGCCCTGGGGCGGGCAGTCGGGTGGGAGTGGCCACGCTGGGCAGGTTTCTCTGACCCAGGAAGCTAGAGGCTCTTCTCTCTCCTCCGGTCGTGAATGACCCCCACCTGCCGGCTCCCTGTGTCCTCCTCCTTTCCACCTGCTTCCAGAGTGTCAGGCTCCGCCCTCAATTCCCACTTCTCATGTTTTCTTTAAACAAAAAGTGTGTTTAAGACTCCCGACAACGTCCCTCCAAACGGCCTCTGATGCACCCAGCGAGTTCCGTAAGGACCACTCTGCTCGCTCCTTCTCGTACCCCGGCTAAGGGCTCTGCCTCGGGGTGTCTCTAGGCTCGTTTTCAAACATTTGTAGCGGAGTGTTTTGTAACTTCTGCGACTTTTGTAACTTTGGTGACTCCTAAGCTATGCTGACATTTTCTGTTTTGGTTTTGAAATGTGTATTTCAATCTTCTCACTTTTGGTTTCTGATACCATTTTGCAGTCAGAGGATTATGGTTTGTATTAGACCCACCCTAGAGCACTTGAGACCCCCTTAGTGGATTTTAGTACGTGGCTGGTTTTTGGAAAGGCCTCAGACATTCTTGAAAAGGATGTGGCTTTTCTACTAGTTGTGCTCTGCATGTGACAACGATCATATTAATAACCAGTGTCCGAGCCTCTGATAAGTCAGGCTCTGTCTGATTGCTTTTAGCCTGTTAACTTTAGAATAATAATAATAATAATAGTGATTTAGGTACTATTACCTTTTATTTAGCAATGTAAATTATTTTTGGTTCATCCAGGTTTTTTTAATTCTTTGTTTTGGTCCTGGGGAATGAACTCAGGGGAGCTTTACCACTGGGCCACATCCCCAGACCTTTCTATTTTAAGACAGGTTCTCACTAAGTTGCTTTGAGCCTCACTAAGTTGCCAAGGCTGGCCTTGAGCCTGTGATCCTCCTGCCTCAGCCTCCAGAGCCACTAGGATTACAGGCATGTGCCATTGTGCCTGCCTGTTTTTTTAAATCCTTAGCCTTTTTAACTGATGCATACAAATTGTACACGTTTATGGGAAACCAGTCGGTTCAATTTGATCCACTTATGGCACAACGTCCCGTCAGGGAGAGTGTATTGATTCATTTGAGATCCTTCCTTCTCGATTTCTGAAATGGGCGGTGGATGATCATTATCTACAGTCACTCTGCTGTGCAGTAGCACCCAGGGCTTCCTCCTCCTTCCCGTTGTAACTGTCCCCAGCCTCTCGTCACCACCGTTCCACTCCTGACACTGGGGGTGAGGCTGTGAGGTTCCTGTCCTCCTGCACCTGGCTGACGTCACGTGACCATATCCAGTCTGTGCCTGCCGTCCCAGGTCTGTGCTGCTGTGGTGACAAGGGCATTCCACGGTACCAGTTTGCCTGGCCCTCTCCTTGGCGGATGGGCACCCCGCTGCGGTGAACTTGGTGCGCAGCTGTCCTTTGCGCCCAGTGCTGGGGTTGCCTCTCGGGTTCTATTTTTACATTTTGAGGAAGCTCCATGCTGTTTTTCGGGGCGCCTGTCCTAATCTACTTTCCCGCTGCAGAGTTCCCGTTCCGTTCTCACAGCTCCGTTGGCCCCTCTTCTGAGCCTCAGCTCATGGCTGCGGCGAGGAGGCAGCTCAGGGTGGTTTTGATTTGCATCTCCCTGGTGAGCAGAGACACGGGGAATTTCTTCCTGTTCCCCCAGTCCTGTGCGTGCACCCTATGGCCATTTGCATGTCTTCTTTGGAAAAGGCCATATTAGACCTGGTGACGGTTTCTGACTGGGCCGCGAGGCGGTTCTGGCTGGTGCCTGGGTGTTCTTGTCAGACTGTAAACGCACCCTCCCGTCCCGTCCCGCCGAGGTCCTTCTGCTTTTTCTGTGCAGAAAGGTGAGTGACCTGGGCCACAGAGGTTGTCCCTGGTACAGCTGGGACTCAGATCTAGGAACCTGGCCCCGGGCCTGTGCTGAGTGACCGCGCCTGGTTCACGCTTCCTGTGTGCCATGTGTGTCCTCGCTGGCTCACTCGGGGACGCTCACGGGCCGTCGGCTGTGCTCCAGGGGCCAGTCCAGGTGCAGCAGCCGAGCAGGGACCACTTCAGAAAAGACACCTGTGGCCTCACAGGGGCCAGGTAGAGTCTGTGGGGAACAGGCGGTAAAGAGTCCAATCGGTAAAGGACACCAAGGTTGGCGCTGGACCCTGAAGGAGGGGGGAGAGAGAGCAGGGAAAGGTGGTGCAGCCTGGAGGGGGGCAGCAGCTCTGCCCGGGAAGGTCAGCACCCAGCGGGAGGAGAGCCCCCACACCCCCGGGCAGGAGCACCCCAGGCAGAGGTCGCAAGGGGGACACAGGCGGGCACCTTCTGGGCACACCCACCCAGGGAGACGGGAGGCTGCTCCAGAGTCGGCAAAGGGGCACTCAGTCAGCACTGACCTAGTGCTGACCCCGTGAGTAGGACCCACGGGGAAGCCCTGGGTGTTCGTGAGCAGAGAGTGACCACAGCGGCTTGCATGTTGACTGTGTTCCATTGCCACTTTATTACCATTTACCAATCTATCCACACACACACACACACACACACACACACACACACACGTGTAGATATATGTCTATATGTGTTTTGTTCCAGGGAGAGAACCCAGGGTGCCTTACTAGCAAGCCACATCCCCAACCCTTTCTATTTTTTATTTGGAGACAGCATCTCACTCAGTTGCTTAGGGCCTTGCTACGTTGCTGAGACTGGCCTTGAACTTGTGATCCTCTTGCCGGCCTCCAGAGCTGCTGGGCGGACAGGTGTGGGCCACTGCACCTGCTTCATTTTTCTTTAAGCCTGAAAAACTGGAAGAGTAGAGTTGTCTTGAGCTGAAATGTGGACAGTGCAGGAGGAGCGCAGTGTGGGCAGAGACCAGAAAGTCCATCACGGCAGGGGGTTCCGAGCCGCCTGGCCCCAGGCCTCCTTAGTTTCAGGAAATGCTGGCCATAACGCTCTGGAGGTTGCTTCTGGCTCTCATCCTCCTCTCCCACGCCCCAGGGGCCCATCAGGGGCTCACTGTCTCTACAGGTGGGCGCCTGGCAGCTGGGTCCTTCTGGGCGGTGGCCAGGCTGCTGGGATTCCTCCTGGCCAGTCCCTGCAGGCCCTCCGTGTGCAGTGTCCCCATCAGGCACGTCCCCTCCTTCCTCGGGAGCCTTCGACTCCCCTGCCTTGGGGCTGGTCCAAGGCTGCAAACACATGTTCTTTATTTTTTTGGTTCATCTTCTTGATTCTTTTTCTTTTTTACAGTGAGAAGTTAAGTCTAAAATAACCCAGTGAAGAGATTCCCAGAGCCAGCATTCCATCTGCACCCCTCGGGAGCCTGTCCCCCCGCCCGAGGTCTACCCACCCATCCAAGCACCTCCCTGTCTCCTGGACGCGGGGACCTCCCAGCCGCTCTGTCCACACCGATGTTCCCCCTCTAATGACGGCTATGGTGCCGCAGTCCAGGTAGCACAGAGCGTTGGCCCTGGGTCGAAATGCAGCTCCGTTCAAGCCCAGCGCCACTCGGACTCATGAACCCCAGAGCCTCGGTGTGCTCATCTAGAAACGGGTCTGACAATGACACCCTCACAGACACCTTCACGAAGCTGTGAGAGTTGGTGGAACTGTCCATGGGGGACTGGAGCAGTGCTGGGCGCACAGTACCGGCTCAGAACGTGTGAGCTGCTGTTCGCCTCCCTTCCCGCTACTCCCCTTCTCCACTGCTCCTTCCTTGCAGAGCTGGGGGTGAACCAGGCCCTGTGCGTGCGGGTCCTGCGCAGGGCCACTCAGCAACGCCCCCAGCCTGCTGTTCTTTCCTGCCTTCTGCAAGTCTGTCTCCACGAAGGGTTCCTGCAGATATATTTAGACAAAAATATGATTATGCCTGCTTATGCTCAAAACCCTCCCCACATTCCTAAAGATAGCATCCCAGATCTCCAGCAGCCTCCCAGGTGGCCCGCTCAGCCGTCACTGCCCCACTTGTGTTGACTCTCCTCCTTGGAACAGGTGAAATCGTTTCCTGATGGCAGAGCCATCTCCCGTCCTCAGCCCTGGGCCAACCCCCCACCCCCGCTCTGCTTGCCTGGTGGCCTTCCCTGCGGTCTGCCACGAGGCGAGTTCCTGTTTCACACAGGGTCACGGGGTTCCCTTTCCTTTGGGGCTGTGTTGGCACCAGCAGCTGTGGTTGTGACACCAGGTCTCTCTGCTGCAGGTCCTTACTGCTGTCCCCTGCCCCTGGCTGACTGGTACCACCAGGACATGGGCAGCAGGGATGGATGCCACAGGATGCCCACTGCCACCCCCCTCCCTCCAGGACTCTAGGGCACGTTGGCGCCAAGAGCTGGAGGAATCCCAGCAGCCTGGCCACCGCCCAGAAGGACCCAGCTGCCAGGCGCCCACCTGTAGAGACAGTGAGCCCCTGATGGGCCGCTGACAGCCCGGGTGGCCTGCTGGGAAGCTGCTGGTCCCCACGGGGCTGTGAGCCCAGCCTCCTGGGGTGACCTGCTGAGATGCTCATGTCCCACTTCCCAGCCTGCTCCCAGCCTCCTCCAGGACCCGGGGGCCGCACTGCCCATTTAGACCTGGGTCAGGGATGGCGTCCAGCTGGACACAGGTGTGGCCGGGGATGTCTGAGGACGATGGCTGTCCTTTTCCCAAGCAAGGGAAGAGGAACCAGACCTCGGGAGGGCCTTTCTATGAGACGCTTGCTAGGAACCCACAAACGTCCGTGCTGGGTTCTGACCACATCCTGAGCCTGTGTGCGCCTCGCGGGGGTGTAGGGCAGCACCGTGCCAGCACGTCTGCTTCCTGGGCCCCTGACCAGGCGTGAGCTGGCAGAAGGACACCTGTGGGCTGGAGGCCAGGGGGCTGGGAGGCCAGGAGGCCCCGACACCGGGAAGGCGGGTCTCTCCCTACACTCGAGTCCTGCTTGGTCCCGTGCTGCGGGGCCAGGGCGATTCAGGGAAGCAGGGACAGTGACAGGAGGGCATTATCCACCCAAGCCCCCGGCCTCCCTGCCCCAGCTGGGAACCAAGAGCTGAGAGACTTAATCAAGCACGGATTTTGAGTGACATTCTGAGCCTTTCCCCTCTGGAGATCCCTTCTCCAGCTGCTGGGGCCCCACCACCTGAGCACAGGTGGGCGATTCGTTCTCTAAACCATGAAGGTTGGTCTCTAATTGACTCCTGCCAGGAAAACTGGCATTGGGTGAGGCAGGGCTGGTTTGGCGGGTGACTCTGGGGTGTAAATTCCCGAGTGTCTGGAGCTCTCGAGACTCCAGATTCGAATTCCTATCCGGATAACTTCTCAGCGTCTCCATCACCGGAAGAGTTCTGCAGCCTGCTGGGCCTCCCAGCTCCACCCGGATGAATGAGAACGTCCGGGGCCCAAGGGTAGAGACGGTGCTGGACTCCAGACAAGGTCCAAGTCCCCCGTCGCATCCAGAGCCACAGCCAGTTCAGGACGTGCCCTGGCCGAGGGCGGCCCAGAGCAGAGCTGGTGATTTGGGGCTGGATGGGTACCTGACCTCAGGTCTGCCCCTCATGTTCACAGACGGGCACAGCTGGGCCCTAGGAAGCAGAGCTCAGGAAAGTGGAGGAGAAGCCACAGCGGCCATCCCTGCTCCCTCCCTCCTGGTGGTCTGTGGCAGGAGCCTTCCGGGAGCTGCTCTCTGCAGGGAGCCTGGTGCCTCCCTCTTGTGTCACCCACAGGTGCCAGTGGCCATTCCACTGAGCACAGGAGTGGGTCGGGGGAGGGGGGCCGTGCTGGGGGCCATGAGACTGTGCTCATTTGCCGAACATCTGATTCCTCTTCACCAAGCAGAGAGGTCTGCTGCTCTCCCCCAAATAAATGTGATTTCCCTCTGGTGGTCTTGTAGAATTCCCGGGCAGTGGCTTCCACCAGGGATGGTTTTCCCTGTTTCCCTTGCATCCAAGGGTGACCACCTGACTCTATTACCAAGGACGATGCGGGGGCCCTCGGGCCAGCAGGTGGACGGAGGTCCTCCACACTCTTCTTCTCTTCATCCAGGAGGATGGGGGGACCCACCCCCGGGAGACACTGGTGTTCCCTGGGGGAGAGATTCAGATTCCACCCAGGGAAACCCACGTGGGAGACAGCAGCCAGCCTTCGTGGGCAGCCCCTGGGGTCTGAGGGTTAACCCATTGCCTTGGCCAGTGTTCCCCTAACTCCCTGATTTTTTTTTTGTGTGTGTATGCTTAACCACGGAGCCATGTCCCCAGCCCTGTCTGTGTTTATTTAGAGACAGGGTCTTGCTAAGTTTCTTAGGGTCTCACTAAGCTGCCAAGGCTGGCTCTGAACTCAGCCTCCTGAGTCTCTGGGATCTCAGGCGTGTGCCACCACCCCCAGCCACTCACTCCTGAATTTCGGACACTGAAGGTATAACTAGCAGCTGACACATGTTGGCTGCGTGGCTTCTGAGGAAAGGGGTGCCAGATTCATATTTATGAGAGCTCATGGGGAAGTGACTGGCCCATGTTATTGGAACAATTGCATTTCTTGGTTTTGACGGACGCACTGTGGTTCTTTGAGATGGGAACTTTGTGGAGACTGGATGAGGGGCATACGGGCACTCTCTGCTTCTTTGCAAATCTAAAACTATTCCCAGGTAAGGAATTTGCTCTGGAATATGAGGTGGGGACCCGGATGTGGTGGTGCATGCCAGCAACTCGGCACTGCAGACATCTCCCCCACCGGCCCATCTCATGACCTTCGGCAGGATTGCTGGGTCACATGGCAGTGCTAGCTTTAATTTTTCTGAGGAATTTCCAGAGTTTTCCATGACAGTTGCTCATTCTTCAGTCATACCAGAGTGTACAAGGGATCTGATTCTCCTACCTCTCTGCCAACCCTCATCCTTTTTAAAAAACCATACCTACACTAGGTCACCATCAAGGTGAGACCAGGGCTGTGCTCAGGGCACTTGGGGACCGTCCCTTCCACTCTGGCCTGCTCTGCCTTGGTCTAGTCTTTATCTACACTGGGACACCCTCAAGGTGTTAATGTCCTGTTTGGACTTTGGCAAATGCTCCCTTAGAGGCTCAGCAGGAGTGCGGTTCCCACACTGACATGAGGACATCCAGCTTTTGGGGTCTGACGTCTTTCCCAGGACAGACAGTGGCTCTTTGTGGAGCTGGTGGGACCCAGTCAGTCTGTAGCAGGGCCTGCGTTCTGCCTTGTCCCCTAGATTGACAGTGAGGCCCAGGTCAGGGGACACTCAGCACATGTGAGCACAGGTCGGAATGTCCCAGCAGCCGAGGCCTCCCTCTGTCACTGTGGGAAGAGGAAAGGAGGCAGCGACCTCTTCCTCTTTCTGTGGGGCATGATGTAGACACCCCAGAGGGGCCTAGCCAGCACATCCTGTCCCCTGTGTCCTGTGTGGGGCCCCAGCTCCAGACAGGGAGGCTGCAGGAGCCTGAGCCATGGCCCCCTGCTCCATTGCCCTCCTGGTTCTTGGTGAGTCCTGGAAGGTGGGGACTGGGTGGGTGGAGGTGACAGGGCAGGAACAGGTCCCTTCCCTGCACAGGCCTGAGCCCAGCAAACCCAGCAGACTCTGTGTCCTCCCCCGGGGCTGCCCCTCACCTCTGCCCAGGCTCAGTGTGACCAGGAGCACTGGGTCCTAGAGGCAGACACCTGGGTTGGGGACAGGCCCAGCCTTGGGAAGGACTGGGCAGCAGAGAGCCTCTTGGAAGGGGGCCTGGGAGGTCTCGCAGCCACCCCAGGGCAGGAAGAAGGCCACCCTGACCCTGGGAGCAGGTGGCCTGGGAAGCAGGGAGGCTGAGTGCCCAGGCTCCACCAGGCCCTGCTGGCCCAGCTCTGGGGGAACCGGGCGCTCTTCTCACTGGGCTTCTCTTCCAGGGCTCTGCCTGGGCCAGGCCATCCACGCACAGGAGGGTGAGTGCAGGTCCCAGGGCCTCCTCCCAGGGCAGCTGTGGACAGGGGCATGTGGATCCAGGAGCCTGGGGACCTTAACAGTGTCCCACGCGTGGGCAACCCCAGTGTGGCCCTCATCAGGTCCCGGGGACTCTGCCTGTCTCCTGTGGTTTCCTGGGCTGAGCACAGGGCTCTCCCCTGACATGGTGGCTGTGTGTCTGGGGACGCGGCAGGATGCTCTGATGGCCCCCTGGGAGTGGGTAGGTGGGGTCAGCAGGCCTGGCCTCTCCCACTTTCCCGTGTTGGTGGAGAGCGTCCGTTCCTGCCCCTCAGCAGTTGTGCAGCCCACACCGCTACCAGCCACAGTCCCCACGCAGGCCAGTGGCTGCCCTCCAAGAGGCCCCTGGACTCCCTCCACCTCTGGCTGCAGTGTCCTGAGTGACAGGCACCTGGGTTCTCCCACCCTGGGGCCTGTGGGTGGGCAGGGGCCTAACACCTGTCCTAGGTCTCAGCCAGGTGCCCCATGTCCCAGGGACCACAGTGTCACCTCCTCTGTGCCCTGATGTGCCCAGGGACACTTGTGCGGGGTCACAGCTGTGGACCTGGACATGGTCTCCACCTGCCCATCCTCCCTCCCCATGAGCCTCTCCTGCTCCTGTCAGCACACAGAGGGGCTCTGAGTGGACAGACAAGGGACCAGGACTGAGGGCGATGAGGGGAGGAGATGGACTGGGGTGGCCCAAGGGTGGGACATTCCAGTGGGCAGAGGGGTCTGAGCAGGAGGCCAGCTGTGCAGCAGGTGACCAGCCAGCAAGAGCTAACAGGCTGAGAAGGAGGGGACAGTGTAGAGGACACCCCGAGGCAGAGGCTCAGCAGAGGCCCCTGGACCTGGCCCAGGGCAGGGAGGGGTGGGCACAGACTCAACCTTGGGTTGTGCACCTAAATTTAATTTGTGGTACAGCCACTCTGCCCAGGATGCCCAGGTGCCTGTCACTCAGGACACTGCAGCCAGAGGTGGAGGGAGTCCAGGGGCCTCTTGGAGGGCAGCCACTGGCCTGTGTGGGGACTGTGGCTGGTAACGGTGTGGGCTGCACAACTGCTGGCCAAGAGCCCTGGGCTGTGCACCTGGATTTAATCTGTGGCTCAGCCCCTCCTCCCAGTGGACGCTGAGCCGCTGTCTGCTTCCTCCAGGGGCCCTGCCCAGACCCTCCATCTCTGCTGAGCCAGGCTCTGTGATCCCCCGGGGGAGGCCCGTGACCATCGTGTGCCGGGGCCCTGCTGGGGCTCAGGAGTTTCGCCTGGAGAAGGAGGGAGGATCCCTGTACTGGGGTAAGAGGAGCCCTTCACCTTCTGAGCGAGAGGCCAGGTTCCTGTTCCCCTCCATGAGTGAGGACACTGCTGGGAATTATCACTGCCTCTACCTAAAGTCCACGTGGTGGTCTGCGCTCAGTGAAGACTTGAGGCTGGTGCTGAGCAGGGAGGACATCACCCAGGCCACCCCCCCAGGCCCAGCTCAGCCATCAGGTTGGTCCCCAGGTCCTGGACCCTGTCCCCGCTGCCATCCTGTCCACAGCCCCCTGCCCCCACCTGCCCCCAGGCCCCTCCCTCTGCACAGTGTCCCCTCAGTCCTCATGCCCTGAGGTCCCTGGAGCCCTGGTCTCATGGGCCACTTTGGGTGACCTGGACACTGGTCCAGCATGGGATGGGCATGGAGCTGGCCCTGCTGCTGGGTGGGGAGGGGTCCCCAGAGATGGCTGGGGGCAGACCCCTTCCAGAACAGTGTCTCTTCACTCAGATGGTGTGTTCACTGACCTTCCCACGGGGCCAGAGCCTGGGTGGCTGAGGGTGACATCTGGTGTAGTCCCCTCCCACTGAGCAGGTCACCTGGCCCAGGGATGGCCCTGACCAGGGCTGGAAGGGGCACTGGGGAAGCTTTGGGATGAGGTAGTCTATGCCCTGTGTGTGCTTGGCCCTAAGACGTCCTGGAGTCAGGTCCAGTGCAGGGTTGGCCTGCCTCAGTGTCTCCTCAGGCTCCGAAGAGCTGCCCAGTGCTGATTCTGTGAGGTCCAGCAGGGGAAGGTGGTGGGAGAGGCCGAGAGAGACCTGCCCCAGCAGCGTGGTTATGACGGGGCTCTTCTGTCCTTCCTGGCCCCTGATCTGCTCCTCAGGAGTCTCAGGACATTGTCTGGTTTTGAGCGATGGCCAGTTGTGTCCTCTATTTGAACGCTCAGGGTGAAGTGGGCAGGCTGGTGGGACAGGCTCTAATTGGCCCCCAGTAAGCTCCTTGATCTAACCCGCCCCCTTTGCAGAAGCCGTAGCCCACAGGTCCCCTCACAGAGCCCTGCTCCTCTGCAGGTGACTCACAGTGGGAGGGGCACTAGGCCTCTGAGCTGGGTGGAGCCTTGGGCCCAGCCCTAGCCCTGGCTTTGGAGTGGAGCTCTGGGAAGGCCAGAGTGAGGGGCACATCCTCAGGCACCGGGATGTCCCTGATACGCGTGACTCTAGGCCAGGCTCTGCTGAAGCATCTAATGCCACAGCAACCCTGTAAGGCCAGGGCAGCCTGACCCTGCAGCGCCTCCCCCATTGCTAACACCAGAGAACTAAGTCCCTCTGTCAAAGACACAAGGCTCTGAAGGGGCTGGGGCAGAACCAGTCCCAGGGCCACGCCCCAGGCCCAGGGTCCCCAGCTACACCCTACCTGGAGCCACCAGGACCCACCTTCCAAACCCTGACCTGAGAGAAGGGTAAGTTCTTGGTGGCTGAAGGGTTAGGGAAGGCCCCCGGGGAAGGTGCCCTGGGGAGGAGGCACAGCCCGTGCAAGGTGACAGGGATGATTCCTGGGGCCTGCAAACCCTCCCAGGTGTCTCCCGGCTCTGCCAGGTGCTGCGTGGTGGGGGTGAAGCTGTGCCCGCTCCCCGGGGCTCAGATGGTCCAGCCTCCCCTGTGTGCTGTGGCAGGACCTTCCGGGGCAGCAGCAGCCTGCAGACCCTTCCCCACCACGTCTCCACTTCCTGAGCCCTGGAAGTGCGGCCAGTGCAGGCAGGATGAACCTCTCCTTCCTCTACCTCTGGTTCAATCTGAGCGTCCACAGCCGCTGGTGCCCACTGCATTGGGCAGCGCAGATGTGGGGAAGCCCCTCTGGGCAGGGCTAGTCTGGAGGGAGAGGCCCAGGGTCCTGCAGGCGGCAGAGTGGGCGGGGAGGACCCTGCTGGCTGGGCCCAGCTCTGGCCTCTGATCTCCCCCCTCCTCCAGACCCCTCCTCCCCAGAGCTACATAGGACGGTAACAACCCTGGAGAGTGTCGTCACATCCAGCATGAGCCCGGGTGTGCCCTGGGGAAGGGGAAAGACGGGCTTTGGTGGTGGTCAGATTCCAGCTCTGCCAGTGGCCAGCGTGTCCCTGGGCACAGAGAGCGTCCCCTGGGCCCCCGTGGGTTGGGTGAGAGTGACTCCCTGTGGCAGCAGAGCTGCGCCAGGAGGTCTCCCGTCCACGCCCAGCAGCAGCACTGGGGGCTGCGCGGGGTGCTCACATCCGTCCCACCCCCAGCTGCCCCTGCTCTACTCCTGGCCACGGAGCACCTCTGCCTTCTCATCGGGGTCCCCCTGGCCTTGCTCCTCTGTCTCCTCCTCCTGCTCCTCTTCTGCCTCCATCGCCAGCGTCAGAGGAAGCAGGGTAAGACTTCCCGGGAAGGGCGGGTGGGCGGCTGGGCGGGCTGTCGGAGCTGGGGACAAGGCCTCCCTCCTAAACTCAGACCCTGACTGTCCTCAGGGCCTCCCGGTGGCCAGGGCCAGTTGCAGAGGCCACAGGAGAGGTGAGACCCCTGGGAATGACCGTGGCCCCCGCCCAGTCCTCAGCCTCTGGCTGCCCTAGTGCTGATTTGTTCCTTCCCACAGGCTGGGCCTGGCTGTGGACAGCCTGGAGAGGTCACCAGGTAAAGGCCTGAGAGGAGGGACAGGCCTGGAGAGGGAAGTGGGGGCTCAAGGGGTCAGGAGGCAGCAGGGGAGGAGCAGGTTTAGGGCCTTTCTGGGAGGTTCCATGTGGGTACAGAATGAGATCTGATCAAGCTGACCTTCTGTCCACCCCAGAGAACTGACCACGTGTCTGCTTCCCTCCAGACATGGCCACGGCTGATAGACCCCCTGAGAAGGACAGGGAGACCGGCAACCCTGTAAGTCTGCCTGGGTCATCTCCCTCTGCATAAGGAAGTCCCCAGATTAGCAGCCCAGCAACACGTCCCCATTTCTTGGGTCAGGACGTTGGGAGCAGCTGAACTGGCTGGTTCTGGCTCAGGTCTCTCATGATGCTGCAGCAGAGGTGTCCACTAGGTTGCAGGAATCTGCAGGCCTGCCTGGGCAGGAAGACTCACATCCAAGGTGACCCACATCCAAGGTGGCGCACCCCACAGCAGCTGGCTCACCCAGAGGGAAACCAGGCCTGGGATGGGCAGAGGGCACACTGTCTTCTGTGGCCTCACTAGGGTGACCTTCCACCACTTCTGCCACATTCTGGTGGTCCCACAGATCAGCCCTGGTACCCTGTGTGCGGGGACTGCAAGATGATGTGATCCAGGAGGTGGGGCCCTGGGAGGTGGCTGCCACAGTCCCCCACCCCACAGCCCCCACCCTCATCCAGGGCCCCTCTCCCTCAGGCCCCTGCTGCAAGAGATCCCCAGGAGGTGACATATGCTCAGCTGGACCACGGAGCCCTCACAGAGAGGGCCGCCCGAGCTGGGTCCCCACTGACCCCAGAGCCCAGCACATATGCGACCCTTGCCAGACACTGACTCCTGGGCCTGAGGTCACTCCAAGCCACTCTTCCAAAAGCCTGAAGCAGCCATTCGGAGGACTTCTCTTGGACTCACCCAGGTCTCAGAGAGCTTTGCTGGGGACAGCAGCTGGGGCCTGGAGGTCTCTGAGCAGCATCTGGGAGATTCGTCCACCAGGTGGCCCCTGCCACAGCTGACCAGCTGTCAGAGAGGCTGTGTCACAGCTACTTCCAGAGACCCAGCCTCAGTCCCTGGCTGTTTCCAGAGACCAGAAACCAAGGTCTCATCCTAGGGCTGCTTCCAGAGAACCAGCAAAAGCCACTCCTGGGGTCCCACCTACTTCAGAGACTGCATGCTGATGATGCTCAGCGGTCCCTGACGGCCTCCCTGGGGTCCAGTGCTGACCCTGCCTGAGGCTGGGCTGCACTCAGGCTGCCGAGAGCTGAGCCGGATCTCTGGGCCAGACCTCACTTGGTACATCAATGGACTTCTTTAAAACAGAACATCCCAGCCCCCGGGGTCAGGCCAGAGAGGTTCAGTGGACCCAGTGCTGCGGTCTCAGCCGTTCAGAGCAGAGTGGGGGCTACGAGGGCTGTCAGTGCTTCCTGTTCTCTGCAGAACACATCGAATTGAGCAAAGCTGCATATATCCGGGGTGTGCACCATGAGGACCTGACCTAGGCATGCGCCCTGTAGATTTCCATAATCAAACCCTCAGCACAGCTGCACCTGCACGTTAGATCCGGGGAATTGCTCATCTGACGACTGGAAGTCGGTCAGTGTTTCCTGATGGAGCATGAGGGGTGGGGAGGAGAAGGGAGGGGGTCTAAAGGGAGGTGCAGAGGTCGAAGGCTGCCCCACCCATCCCCACCACACTCAAGCACATCCAGGCACACAGCCACCACTAACACATGCCTTCGCACACACAGCCCACGCTTCCGTGCACACACAGGCACATTGCACACACGCACTCACACACCCCAGGAAAATCCCGAGTACCTGTGAGGTGCTACCCTGTTTCAAATTAAAATAGAACAATTACCCTGAGGACCACTAGGGGGCGGGAGTGCCTCATCTTGATTAATATGTGTGCCTGTCTCAAAAACCAATCAATCAACCAACAAATAAATAAAAAGCAAAAATCCCACAGGAACAGAGAACTTTTTGTGCACGTGTTCACGTCTTAAAATTATCAGCCCTTCACGGGATATCAGACATATGTATACAATCGTCAAAGAAAAGAATAAAATAACAGGATCCTGAAAACCTGTTATAGGCCGAGATTTAAACCGTGTGTGTGTGTGTGTGTGTGTGTGTGTGTGTGTGTGTGTGTGTGTGTCCCTGTGTGTGCTCGTACAGAAAAGAGAATATTTTAAAAGAGAACAAAATTCAGCAGGCTTCCAGGGCTGATGGCCATCTTGGTTTGGTTCGACACCAACATCAGGGCACGCCCCTGTCCCACCGTCCACAGCGCCTCGTTGTCTGCTTTGCCGGGACCTAGGGACTGCGCATGGGCAGTCTCAGTGTGCCACGAGCTGGACCAATGGGGTCCTTGTCCCGGCTCAGAGCCTGGTGTCCGCCTCCGATGATCCTCCTTGGTCTGCTCTTTCATTTTGCGCTCCCTGCGGTTGGCTTTCTGCAGGGATCTGCCTGCTGCCCCTGCCCTGGATCTGGTTCCCTGCTGCGACAGCGAGAGCAACTTTCTGTTGGACAGGTCCAGCTCCTCTCCGTGTCTGTCCCGGGTATTTTCAACTTCATCCCGGCGTTTCCCCAAGAATCCTGCTGGCGCAGAGGTGGACAGGTGGCTGGAGGCTCTTAGCAGAGGACGACCCTGGCATTGCGGGGCGGGGGGGGGGGTCTTCTATTTTCCGCCACTCCCCGGGCACAGGTGCACACCAGGCCCTGCGACCCCCAGAGCGCCACCGTGGCCTCTGGAAAGCGGGACAGGAGCTAATCATGACACCACACTTTCTTTCCTGAGGGGCAGTGGGAGGAGGAGGGCCAGGGAGAGGACAGAACAGCAGAGACAGGACTGGCCTTCCTCCCTGACCCCCAGACCTGCAGGACACAGGTCCAGGGGCAAGAGGCAAGAAAACAACCTCCAGGCTCCCGGCCGCCCCTGCAGGAGGCAGCACTAGCTAGCACACCCAGGGTCGGGCCAGCGGAGTGGCCAGGGGAGGGAAGGACCCCCTTGACTAGGGACCCCCCTCCCACGTCTGAGAACCCTGTCTGGGACCCAAGCCAGTGATCCCCTGCTGGCCTGTCAAAGAGAGATGGCACCTGACCAGCTGGGGCAGGAGCAGATGCTCACGGAGGTCCAGGACCCTTGGACAAAGTGGACGCTTAGTTCACAAGAAGTGTCGCCAGGCTCAAGGGAGCTGGGAGGGGAGGGAGCCCCGATCTTTGCCCACAGACTTAGGTGGCCCCCTCCACCTGGCAAGCAAGTGAGACCTCAGTCAGTCTGACCAGAGGACCAGCGGGAGGAACCAACACCACCTGGGTCACCTGCTCCTCCAGAAGGACACCACCCAGGAAGGAGATGGGGGGGGCAGAGATGGACTTGACCTCGAGAGGGTGGCTATCATGACGTTTTAACCTGTGCAGCTTATGAGACGGACCAGAGACGCTGTATTTCTCCTGCTGAGCCAAGTTGCATTATGACCTGCAAACACACACACACACACACGCACACACACACACACATGCACACACACAATACACACATGCACACATGCATACACACAATACACACATGCACACACAATACACACATGCACACACACAACACACACATGCACACACACAATATGCACACACAACACACACAACACATACATGCACACACAAAACACACATGCACAACACATGCACACACACAACACACATACATGCACAACACACAATATGCACACACAACACACTCAACACACACATGCACACACAAAACACACATGCACACACACATAACACACAACAACACATGCACAACACACAACACACACATGCACACACATACACAACACACACATGCACACACATACACAACACGCACACGCACACCCGTGCACAAATATCTGTGATGGCCCCTGCACTCTCATGAAGTAGCACTTCCCCTGTTTTATTTTCCTGAGGAGTGAAGTGTCCCTTCTTGTGTTTTTAATGATGCTTCAACAAAATAGAGCGAAGTCCAGTGCATGGAAAGTGCTGGGCCACTTGCCCGAGGGACGTTTTCATTTGTCCCAGTTTCCGTGTGTATCTCCATGCATACAGTGATTTTTCACCTACTCCATCAAAGGCACGGTCCACCCTCACACTTTTTGGACTGTGGTGGGTCTGTAGCACATTGGGCTGAGCACACGCCCCTCTCACAGGGGTGGCATCTAATAGTAACGCACCCTCCTGCTGGCCAGCCTTCCCAGGGGCAGTAGTAGGCATGATTGGTGGGTCGTGGGCTGCGGTGCTGCGTACCTGCTGTGTCTGCTTTTAGTGTGTGGGTGAGTGAGTTTCCACAGGGGCCTTTTGCTGGACTTTTCTCCCAGTTTCTTTGGGAATCGAGGGGGCTGTCTTCACACAGGAAGAGAAGGGCTCTTATGAGCAGAGTGGACCCCACGGCTGAGCCCAGACACGGCAGCCCCAGACACGGCAGCCCCTGGGGATGCCCTACACCATGAGCAGGCACCTCCCGGTTCTGTCCAGGGCAGAGCCCAGGCTGACTGCTTCCTTAGAGCCCTGGGCCAGAGGGCGGTGTTAAGGAGCAAGGTCCACGGGCACTTGTCCACGCACAGCAAGGAAGGCCTTACTAGGGGACCATTGTGACAGGTGTGGGGACCACTGTGATGGGATCTTGCAGTGAAAGAAAACCCAGGTCTGAGTGCAGCTGGGGCAGAGTGGCTGCATCAGGGAGGGGGGGTCAGCGGGTGGACAAATACCAGAGGAGGTGTCGGGAGGGGCTCCCTGAGCCGAGCGGGCAGGATTCTTGCTGAGGGCAGCCAGGTGCCCAGGCACCAGCTGGTGGTGGGGACCCATGAGACCCCAGGGTGAGCAGGTGGAGGGTCACAGTGACACCACAGGGTGCTGGATGGAGGACAAGACAAGCCCAGAGCCAGGTCAAGGTGGAAGGGAGCTCAGGGACGCAGGAGCAGGGTTGGTCAACGGGAGCATTTTATGAAGGGGTGACCCGGGGTCTGGGCCTCTCTGGGGGAGGGTCTGACCAAGAGTCTCCCAGCACTTGGCCTTGAGTCTTGGACAGAGCAACGACCCCAAGAGCTCAGGACATTCCTCCTGAAGAAACTCAGCCCCCGGGTGGCTCCCCCGGGCTTGAATCAGAGTCGGGGGGAGTCACGGGTCTCAGCCCTGCAGAGGCTGAGCCCACCCGGACTCAGGAGCCACCCGGCTGAGACTGGGGACCCCTCCGTCTCCATCAGACCCCATCCTGCCACCCCCAGAACACTACGGGCACCTCCCCACCCCAGCTCTGCCTGGAGCCCACCCGGAGCCCAGGCTCCCCCAGCCGTTCCCTCAGGCTCAATTCCTTCCCTCCATACCACGGTCTCCTTGTCCGTCTCCTCTTCAGGGGGCTGTCCCTTTCCCAGGGGGCCATGGTGTCCTTAGGCGCCCAGGACAGAGCTGGCTCCTGGCTACGTCCCCAGGGTGAGCAGGCGCCTGGGCTGGAGGCCACCAGAGACTCAGAGCCCAACGGAGGCTTCCCCAGCGTCGGCACAGGACCCGGGAGAAGGTGAAGAGAAGGTGTCCCCGACACGCAGAGCCCCCTGGGGCTGGACAGCAGCACTGGGAGCCAAGGACACGCCGAGAGCCACGTCCTGGGTCCTGGGGGAGGCGCCGGCTTCCAGGAACAGAGAGGGGGAGGGGGCGAGCCACAGAGGTCAGGGTCGGGGTCTCAGACCCCCTTCCTGCGCCTCGGAGCCCTTGGGCCCACATGGGCCCCGGAAGCCCATCAGCGTCCCAGACAAGAATCCAGCCACACCCAGAACCACCGGGGCTACAGTCCACCAGTCCCAGAACCACCCATCAAGGCCTGCCCAGGGGTCTGGGTGCACGGGCCTCTGATGGCCTGGGAGCCGTCGGATCAGAAGGGGCCAGCTGGGCGTCAGGAGGCCAACGTGCCCCCACCTGCCCTGTCCCACACATCCCTTAGTGCTCCCAGGGATGGAGCCTGCCTGGGGGCCAGGCGGCAGAGCAGGGCTCAGGTCCAGGGCCCCTGCAAGAGAGCAGGGGCAGGCTGGACCAGGGCCCAGAGCTGACCAGGGTCACTGCCCTGGGGAGCAGGGTGGAATCGGAGCGAATGTCCTCGCCGTGTTCAAACAGCCCTGCGCGGGCGCCTCACAGGTGAGATGATGCTGGGTCGTCAGGAGCTGGACACCTCCCTCCACGAGGGTCCTAGCAGCTAGTGTGAGAGTGTCTTAGGGGAACCAGGAGCCTGTCAGGACCAGGATCCCTGACAGGAGGTTTCCAGCCCCCGCTGACCCTGTGTGGGCTTCTAGGTTTCCTCCCAAGTCCACTTGCCCCCATCCGTCTGTCCATCTATCCGTCACCCACCGTCAGTCCATCCACCACCCACTCTCCAGCCGCCGTCATGTCCGTCAGTCAGGTACCTCGCTGTGTATCAGGCGCTGTGTGGGTCTGCCTGCTTCTGCCAGCTGAGTGCTGTGGTCTGTGCACCCGTCCTGCGGGCAGTGGCCACGTGGGCTAACCTGGACATGTGTGCAGCGTAGCTGTGAAATACCTCACTTGGAACACCTTCCGGAACCCACGACCTGCCGTGGTCACGTGGGGGAAGTTAGAAAAGGCCCAGAGCCAGTCCCTCCCTCCCTGTGACGAGCTTTGTGGCCTCACTCTGCACAGTTACTGCCACAGGACCTGTCCTCCCACACGGGAAAGCACAGCGCAGGCCAGGGACGCTGGCCATGTGCCCTCACCCCACCACCCCCCCGAGCCTCAGTGAGCCTGGGGATGACGAAGGCATTGAGGGGCAGCCAGGGTGGGAGATGGGCCAGGGGTGTAGGACGCTGAGCCCTGGGGGAGGGGCAGCCCTGCCCCCTCGGTGTCCCTGAGCCAACGGTGGAGGGACCCAAGGCCCTGGTGTGCTGTGGAGAGGGGACAGGACGGTCCATCTAGGCCTGCCTGGAC